CGGTACCGCGCTCCCTGAACGCCTGGGCTGGGCTGAAGGCAGGGACGCCTCTCAGACATCTCCGTTCTTCACGAGCCTCAGGCCAAACGGGACGCCGTGGTTTGCTTTAACCAAGGATGTTTTTTTGCCCCTGGGGTGTTTCTCGGCCTGGGCTCTTCTCGTTCCTCCCAGGGGCTCCCTGAGCTGCTTTTGCAGGACTGGAGCATTTGCTCCGCTTTGTTGCTTCCTTTAGCTGCACTCATTCCTGGCTGCCCTTGGAGCCTCCTGTGTGTTCTTGCTGCTGTAAGGCAGGCAGGGATAACATACAGAGCCCTGGCAATCTTGGGGTTTGATGTACGGCTTTATGGGGGTGAGAATCTCTTTGAACAGAGCCAAGGCCTTGGCACAGCTAAAGAGGCTTAACAGGAACAGCTTGGGCTGGAAATTATATTTCTAAATTGACATACAATTCTTCTGGCTGTAACAACACCTCTTTACAATAACACCATCTATTTTCAATGTACAGACACTAAACAGCATAAAAATTGCTATTCTGCACCAGCTTTATGGTTCTTCAGGTTAACTCCAGGCCTCTGCTGCTGACTAATGCCCCATTCAAATCCTGACAATGTTGTCTGCTAGGTGTGCTTGTCTCTCCCAGGGGCTACAAACGCTCCCTCACAGCACCTGGGTTAGCAGCACTTCCTCTTTCCTTCACAATTCCTTGCTCAAACAAGTAGAGTACACAAAAAGCAAGGCATTAGTTAGAAATGATCAGCTATATTTAGTCAGAGGGTTAGAGTACACTTTATATGGCAGGATGAAATAACTTGTTCCCTTAATCAGATGGTAGGAGACAACTGGGACAAATATCCAGCTGCCATTCCTGAACAGCCGGCTCATTCACATGCTTTCCACTTACCACTTTAATGTCATGTTCTGCTGCACACAGAAATAGGTTGTGGTTTCAAATTTTCCCTATTTCTCAATTAATTTTAACAAAATGCAGCACCCATTGCCCCTCCTCCTTCCCTGGGCATGTGTGGGCAGAGACAGAACTCTGTAAATCATTAACCCATATTAATAATCGAGGCTGGCATTTGGGAAGAGGTTTCTGAGAGATGTATTTCAGAGACTCACACCCTGATGTTATCCACCTGGAAGATTGGTGGGAAGATGTTGGCATGTTACCTCGCCCCTGCTTCCAGCTCCCAGGGTGTACAGGGATTGAATTTGGGGGAGCAGATGGAGGAAAAGGCCCATCCTAAAAAATAATCTGGCCCAAGGAGTGAGCAGAGAGTGCCTGCTCCAGAAATAACTGCCCACTAAAGCATTTCCTTCCCTTCAGAATTCTCAGCAATCCGATGCCTTCAGAGGAATGAGGTTTTCAGGAAGCTTCTGAAATGTTGCTGCTCTGAAGTGTCACATTGCTGGGTGCAGTTATGACACCAAAATGTAGCAGGTCTCTCCAGTATCACCAAGTCTGTGCTTGCCTTGGAGCACCTGGTCCAGGTTCATGGCCTGGGAAATCCTAACCCAGGCCATTGCTCTCTTGATGAGGCTGGAGAGCAGATGGCCAGGGCTGGGCCAGCTCCAAGGACAGAGCTTGGACCAATAAAAACAGCACCAGATTCAGTTAGTTCCTTTGTGAGCCATGGCAAAACCAAGAACAAAGTAATGACTCCTGCAAGGACTGTGAGATCCTGGGATTTGTCCAGATGACTCCAGCTGGCTCTTCCAGCCTGGATTTTCCTACAGGAGCAGCACGGGGTGAAGGGCAGGTGAAATGGGAAAACCAAAAATACACTTGGGCAGCAGATCTATAACCACCACAGGCAAGGAGAGGAAAGACCCAAAAGTGGCTCTGGGTGCTGAGGCAACCTGAAGGCTTTGGACCTCTCACTGGATGAACTCAGAGCAGTGCAGAAGGAGGAAGAGGAGGAAGCTGGGCTGATGCTGAGCAAGGGATCAGAAGAGAACAAGGGTGTAAACACCAGTGGGTGCAGAAGGAAGCAGTGCCAGCGTGTACTGGAGCAACGTGGCAGAGAAAATCAAGGAAGGAGGACACAGTGCCTTGGAAGGACACCTGTGCAATGGATGGAGCAAGGGGCTAGAATGAGCAAAACCTTTTTGACTCCAGACGAACTGGAGACAAAGAAGGATAGGCAAGGAAGAGTTTATTTCTGACAGTCACTGAGAGCATTCTCTGGGGACAAGCTGTTGGCTTGGAAAGGATATGGGCTGCAATAGGCAGCAGGTGGCAATGGGGAACATGATCCAACAGCATCAGGAGATGGATAGATCCAAGCAGCAGCAGCAGTGTTCGGATGTGCCACCTGCTGCAGGGACCTCAGCTCAGCACATGCTCACAGTGCTGCTTTTGCCCAGTGTGGGCCCACTGTGGGCTCTGCCTTGGGCTCTTCCCTGCTCTCACTGCTGGCCAGAGCTACACCCACCAAAACCAGTCTTGATGAACGTAGATGCCAGAGATCAGCACAGTCCTGGATACAACAGAAACATTAAACTGTTCCTTGGCAATGGACCATGCCCTGCCTTACAGCACCAGTAGTTTAAACTTACCTGATGCCTATGTCCACATCTGGGCCTCAGCAAATCTCTATATG